AAAAATTTTAGAAAATGTTGTCAGCAGTGAAATAGGTCTGTAGTTAGAGATGCAGGATTTTTCACCCTTTTTATATAGTGGTTTTACTTTTGAATATTTAAGTCTTTCAGGAAACATTCCTACAGCCATTGAATGATTACAGAGATAACTTAATGGAATACTTATATAATCCACACAAGATTTAAGTACTTTAGATGAAATTCCATCATAGCCACATGAATGAATGTTTCCATTTCTTTTATATTACACCAAGAAACAATATCTTTAACATGGTAATTGTTGAATGGGATCTGAAGAAGCCCCATGGTATATAATTAGTCTGATATCTAGCTTTTAAGAGCTCAAATACTTTCAAATTGGCTATCATGAGTAACTCATGTGAGGTATGCATACAGGAGCATGCATATTACATGATGAACTTTTGATGCAGGTCACTTAATATTAATAATATTACAACACTGAAATCTAGGAGGCTACAGTGGGTTTGGCATATGGCTTGGATGGGGCACATGAGGCTGTTTGGAAGACAAGAAAATGCAGATGGGTGTCATGGATGGAAATAGGTTATGAGGATGAGAGGTGTATGAAACTTGCTCAGGGTTTTGTCCAGTGATAGGCTTTTTGGTATTTGCATTGTTAATCCTTGAGTTTCTACTACTAAGAAGTTGAATTTAGTTGAGATTTGTCAGTATTTTTGAGATTGGAAGGTTCCAGGGATGGAAACATTTGAGAAACACTGCTATCATACAGCAAAATGTGTAGATTTTTACGTAGTCAGTAGAGCAAATATGTTGGGAGGTTATGTAGTAGCTACTGGTAAGATATATTCCAATTTTTTGTACTAGATACATACATTTGATAATGAAACTTCAAAAAAAAATTTGTAGCATGCAGAAATGACAGTAAAATGGTGACTCAGCCCAAGAAAGCAAACTGAATTTGCACATGAAGTATCTTTATGGAACTTTCTCAGAAACCTACATTAAGCATTGGTCACAGATTTTGCGGAATATAACTTGCGCACACAAAATGCATTCTTGGGTTGAGGTACCATTTTACTGTTATGCCAGCATTTGTGCTACTAGTAGCCATTACTGGAATTGTCACATCTCCCGCATGCTGCAACAAAAGAAAAGTTCTCCTTCCAGCAATGTCAGTTTCATTTCCATGTACTATTTAGTTTTTGTTAATATTTGAAAATGCTGTAGTGTTGACTGTCACACACTACATAAAGATTTTACCTTAACTATAAGATATAATTAGCTATAGCTACTTAAAAGGATAGAAGCTGTTATGATTTCATTAAATGTCTGGTTTCAGGGGAAGATGGCTGTCATCTGGGTTGTAGTGCCATGTAGTCTGGCAGAAGTTTACCAACTTTTCAGAAGTCCTTGCTGCCTCCATCATCAGGATGATCACACTACACAATTCTAGAACCCAGAAGACAGCCATCTTCATATTCACTGCAGGGAGAACCTCAAATCCTACTTATGTTTGGTTTTAGGATGATACAGAAAACTTACCCTTCCCCAATGACGAAAGAGAATTTAGCCTGCCTGAAGCAGATTTTGCCAGCATGATGGACGAGAAGCTGAAACAAGAGAAACCAGAAGGTGGTGTTGAATCAGATGCTGGAACAAAACATGACCAGAAGAAAGAGTCTAGTAAAAATGTGAAAGAAGTTACAAAAAAAGAATACAGTAAAGATCTGAGAGAGAATTCTCATAAGAAAGACCCCAAGGAAGGTAAAGATGTTAATAAAGATAGGAAAGATAAGGATGTAACTAAAGAACCTAAAAGAATTAGTGGAAAGGATCTTAAAGATATTAGAAGAGAAAGTAAAAAAGACAATAAAAAGGATATTAAAGAAGTGTCAAAGGAAACTAAGAGGGAGCCTTCAGAAAGTAAGGAACCTAAACCTATTAAATCCAGAGGAAGCATCAAGGAAAAGAAAGAGGGGAAGAAGGAGGAAGACAGAGATGAACCTCTTGCAACCTACATCAATTCTGTTAAGAAAGAACGAGTGAGGGAGTTAAGTGAATCCAAAAGTGATGATTATTCGCCAAAACGTGGTGCAAAACGATCGACAAGAGGTTCCCTAAAACCTGATGACACAAGTTCAAACAAGTCATCAAGTCCCATAAGCACTCCAACACCACCGCCTTCCAAACGAAGAAGAACGTGACATGGTAACCATTTTATTATGTGTGAGTGTATTTCGGAGTGTGTGGATGGTGATGAAATTTCTAATTATATGTATCGCTCTGTTATGAGAGTGTTTGTTGTCAGTGGAATTAACTGGTGTGATAATCTCATAGTTTAATACTGAGTATGTTGTATTTGCTGTCATAAATGTAAAAAGTACCTGTCTTGTTTTTTAAATGCCTGTTCTGTATTGCTTTACTTTTATATGCGTATCTGAACAGTATGAATAAAATGCTATCATGTTGCAAGTGTTCTGTATATTAACCTTAATCATTATATATCTATTTTTGTAGCATAGTCCAAATTAATTTTGTTGACATCCTTTTGGAAAAATTTTCACTCCGAATTACTTTATTCCAAAATTATTTCTTCTGATAGACTGAAAATATTAACTGATATGAGTTGCTCATAAACAAACCCTGAAACATTTGACAGCCAGCAGATGGCTGGAGTCCATACAGGAAAAAAGCTGTAGCAGAACTGAGAATCAAGGCAGCTTTAATGTTGGACCCAGTTGGTTAAAATGTGGCATTGAATCCTTAATAATATTGGATAAGAAGGGATAAGTAAGCCCATCATGTAATTTCCAGTTTTAAAATAAAATATAGAATAGAGGTGGCACAAGAAATGTGACTAAAGCTATAGGATTTTGGTTTGTTACGGTAACCAGTTGACGCCGCTGATTGCCCTAGAAGATTTTATTGACTAAAGCTTATGTTAAAACTTAACACAGTTTACATTTTGTAGCTTGAATTTCTTTTCAATTATATTTCACAAATCGATCTTGTCTGTTATAAATTTCCTGTTTCTTTCATTCCTAATGTTGTATAAATTGATATTTTCTAAGGTGGTCTACATTCACACATTCTACTACAGGTAACTCGATTTGCGCCGGTTCAATTTGCACCGATTCAGAATAACGCCGATTTTGAAACCATCAAGTCAAAAAGTGAAAAAAATATATTTTACTATTATTTATAACGTTTTACAGTGTTTCTCGTGCTGCTTCTTATACTAAATAGTAATTCTTACATCGCTGATTTTGAATAGAAATTATAAATACAATCACCTCTGCAATTACGCATGTTTCATTAACGCGAATTTGCTCCAATGGAATTGATGAATCGGTAAAAGCTGTTTGTGAAATGCAAACTTCTGCATATGCAAGTTTGCTCTTATGCAATTTCATTCCTGGCGCTTTAAACCTTCAAAGGACTAATTTAATCTCTGCAGAGGTTCTGGGGTTATTTTTACTACGCGATTCTCTATAGGTCGGCGTCTTACATGAATGCAACTATCACATAACAGCAGAGATGACTGTACACATCAATTACATGAAAGAATCGCAGTCAATCGCGGGGACCAACAAATTGTCGATTGTAAGTTTATAAAATATATGTTTTAAATTCCCTTTATTTTATGTACATTATTTCAGAGCTGTAAATGTAATGCCATTATTTTACTCGTCAATGTTTGGGTGCCGGGAACGCATGTCATTGACTTCATTGATTTACATTATAAAAGAGTTTCAGTTTACGCTGGTTCGTCCAGGAACGCATCCCCGGCGTAAATTGTGGGTTACCTGTATATACTTTTATGTGTGTTCCTTGCACAAGGTTTATTAAACTGAACACACAAGGTCACATTTTGTCTGCATTTTTAATCACTAAAATTGCTCTCTGGATTCTGATGGAATTCAGTATAGAGGGGTCTATACTGAAAATTGTTTGTTCATACTGGTCCAATGTAACCCATTCTTTACAAAAAGCTGAAGTGACACACAAAATTACCAATAATGGTTTGCTGTACAGAAAACTGTACTCACTGAGATCTACAACTTTAATATAAATGTTTTACAATAAGATGTGGGGGGAAAGTATGTATGATTATGTGTGTTAAATGTAGTGAGATGAACTTAGCAAAAATAGGTTTGTATGTATAGTCACATCAGAGAAAATGCATAATCACATTTAAAAAATAAATGTATTGTATTGTAAACAAGCACTCTTCCCACTCTTCTCATTACACAGTAATGTCATACTAACAATCTTCATAATATTGTATTTAGCTGTAACTCTCTCTTTACACTACAGAAGTGTCATTAAATGAGAAATAGCATTATTTTCAATTTGGTCTATGTAACACCATATTTATATTTTTTCATTGGTTCAGGATGATGAAAATATGTGCTTGGATTTCTTTAGAGAATTTTTTTAATTGAAAATATAAGAGATATAAGCTTTTGAATTTTGGCGGTTTCTGTACTGTTGTTGCTACAGTGAAACTAGAATGAGACAGCAAATATTTGTGTCATTTACTTATTTATGCACCAGCTGTAACAAGTAATATACTAAATTAAGGCCAAAGAGAAACATAATATCTGCTGAACATGGTCCATTTATTTACTGCATTACCAGGGAAAGGTAAACCCTTTGGAATTCTCAAATGAAGGAAGGTAATTTCTTGGTCAGCTGCTCAAGAAGACACTAAAATGGACAGTGTTTAACCACCCCTGAATAAATGCTGAACCAGGAAACACAACTGCACATTGAAACTGAAGGACAGAAACAAGTATAAAAATAACTTACTAATAATTAATTTTAACACATTATTCTAAACTCTTGCACTCGAAGTGCTGAGGCACGCATTAAAAAAATCTTGAATGGGCCCCACTCGAATGTCTCATACACAGTTGTGGAAACAGTAAAATAATAGATATGTGTATTTGGGCCCCAGAACTTGCATCTCCATCAAAATCTTAATTGTAATTTCTTTTATTTTTGTTACACAGTAATTTGTACTCTGTATGACCAATTAGGAAATGTACACATAGCGTAACAAATTTAGTAAGTGGTGCAAGTCATTGTCAAATACCGTAATCACTGAAAGCTGGGAAATAAAGTAATATCACTGGAGAAACAGCTCAAAGGCCAAAGTCTTTAGAAAAAAAAAGTGTGCAACCCATTATTATGAATTATAAATGTGTTTTCTCTAATCAATAATAATTTTGTCTGTTTGTTTGTTTGTATGGGTGTGAAACATTGTCTCACTCTTGACGGAGGAACATAGATTGCAGGTGTTAAGAATAGGAAGTTGAGGGGGATATTTGGGCCTAGGAGAGAAGACGATGGGGCGTGGAGAAAACTGCATAATGATGAGCTTAAAAATTTGTACTCCTCCCCCAGTATTGTCAGGGTGATTAAATCAAGAAGAGTGAGATGGGCTGGGCATGTAGCGCGCATGGATGGGACAAGAGGTGTGCACCTGGTATTGGTCGGGAAGCCTGAGGGGAAGAGACAGCTGGGGAGACCTAGACGTAGATGGGAGGATAATGTCAGGCGGGATCTATTGGAGATAGGAGTTGAAGGAGACTGGATTTTGTTGGCCCAGGACAGGGACCGGTGGAGAGCTTTGGTTAATTCGGTGATGAACCGTCGGGTTCGGTAAGCCATCAAGTTAGTTAGTTACTCAGTATAGGAGCTTGACCAGATTTCACTTGGTAGGATTTGAGGTTTTCATGGCAGAGTCCGAATATGGTTGTCTTTTGGGTTATTGCGCTGCGTAGTCTCGCGGCCCTGATGATGAAGGCAGCAAGGACCTCTGAAACGTCGGTAAAATTATACCAGACTACACATTCCACTTACCTTGAGAGAAAACATGTCATCTTCAAGTGCATAGTTGTTGCTTAAGTATAATGGCCCACTACTGCAGAAATTATTTTGTTAAAAATCTGATTACTATTTTTAACGTTCCTTGCACACAGAACTAATACATCTTAAAAGGCGCGCTTCTTTTTTTAACGAGGTGAAGCCATTATTATCGACTCCATTTGCCACAACATCCACCGATACTGTGTTGACCACCACAGATTTAAAACAATAGTAATGCAGGTGGTACAATATTCCGTACAGAGATTTCCAGTCTTATTCATTGTAATTTAAATTCACTTGATAAAAATCTATTAAATATAATCACTAACTCCTTATATGCACATTAAAAGTAATAACTGTCACAGCAGTGGAAGATATCCGGTATTGTGTCACTTTATAAACCGAGCAATGAAAGCACCTGAGGGTGATTATCAAGGATTGGGCTGTTATCAACCTCTTAGGGAAATTTCTTGACTATTTTCGATGGAATTGCTATTACGTGGGAAAATAGATTTAATTACAAATTATCCTGCCATCTTTGTGTCAAAGTACTACTTTTATAACCGAAATCGGTAGCTCAGTTCTTATTACAGGTAACTCGTCAACGTAAAATAATTTAAGCAACCTGTATACGGAGGTTATCGGGCTTGAAATCGCTAAAAATCGTACTCGGCCAAAAAAGGACTGTAATCTATGCAACACCAATACAATTCTGTAGAGTGGAATTTCTACAAAATATACGGTTGTGAAGCACCCAAAACAGGTGTCACTATCGCCATTGGAACACAGATTCACAGTCACTGCTTTCTAAAACCACAATGATGCCTTTAATATGAACACCCCCACCCTGCAGTTATGTGACTTGTTCTGCATAACAGCTGGTTACTATACATAACTAACCAAATAGATATCTTACAGAACCCGAAGGTTCATCACCGAATTAACCAAAGC